AGAGGGCAGCAATGGATGGGATCTTGGCAATGAGGAATTGTTCCCTGGCAGGGTGGGCAGGGCTGGCACAGGGTGCCCAGAGCAGCTGGGGCTGCCCCTGGATCCCTGGCAGTGCCCAAGGCCAGGCTGGGCACTGGGGCTGGAGCACCTGGCACAGGGGAAGGTGTCACTGCCATGGCAGGGGTGGAACAAGATCAGTTTGAGGTTTCTTCCAGACCAAACCATTCCATGATTCCATGACTTTCCTTTCTTTTTGTGTCCTGTCATCTGTCTTTATCTCAGCCCACATGTTTTCCCTTTTTTTTCCAGTTGTCTCCCCATCCCCTGGGAGTGTCCCTGTGCCTGGCTGGGCTTTGGCTGCCAGCTTCAACCACTGGAGCTTAAACCTTGGAGCTCCTTTTTGGTGCCCCAGGGGTTGAGCTCACAGAATCCCAGAATCCCAGATTGCTGTGGTTGGAAGGGCCTTCTGGAGATCACCCAGTCCAAGCCCCTGCCCAGGCAGGGTCACCCTGAGCAGGTGACACAGGGACACATCCAGGTGGGCTTGGGATGGCTCCAGAGAGGGAGAATCCATCACCTCCCTGGGCAGCTCTTCCAGGGCTCCATGGAAAAACATCTCTCCTCAGGTTGAGGTGGAACTCCAACCCATTTCTCCTCCCTGACCAAACCATTCCATGATTCCATGACTTTCCTTTCTTTTTGTGTCCTGTCATCTGTCTTTATCTCAGCCCACATGTTTTCCCTTTTTTTTCCAGTTGTCTCCCCATCCCCTGGGAGTGTCCCTGTGCCTGGCTGGGCTTTGGCTGCCAGCTTCAACCACTGGAGCTTAAACCTTGGAGCTCCTTTTTGGTGCCCCAGGGGTTGAGCTCACAGAATCCCAGAATCCCAGATTGCTGTGGTTGGAAGGGCCTTCTGGAGATCACCCAGTCCAAGCCCCTGCCCAGGCAGGGTCACCCTGAGCAGGTGACACAGGGACACATCCAGGTGGGCTTGGGATGGCTCCAGAGAGGGAGAATCCATCACCTCCCTGGGCAGCTCTTCCAGGGCTCCATGGAAAGAGGTTCCTCCTCTGTTTGGGGTGGAATTTGTTGTGTTTTAGTTTCATGGCCACTGCTCCTTGTCCTATCACTGGTGCCACTGGAAATACATCAAAAATCTGACTGGAATGTGTTAAAACAGATTTATTAAGAGCATTTTTTTGCATCAGTTTCACAGTCTCTGGTCACAACGGTGATTTATTTGTGCTCAGAGCTGTGGTGTTTATTGGTTGTTGTTTATTTGATTTATTTCCTCTCAGAGCTGTGGCATTCCCAGACCTGCTCCAGGTGGCACTTCCCTGGCTGTGGTTGTCCCCTGTTTGTCCCCTCTGAGGGCTGGGTGCAGGTTCTCACTTCTCTGGGCTGAGGAACACAGGTTTGTGAGGGGAGAAGATTCCTGGTGGTGGGACTAACCCAGAGCTCTGCCCTGATCTCTGGGAGCTAGGAGCCATCACGTGGGATTACAGAATCCCAGAATCCCAGATTGTTTTGGGTTGGGAGGGATTTTAGGGACTGGGTTCATCCTGGGTGCAGCCCTGGCTGGGTTCTGGTGCTGCCCAAGGTGGATCTATCAAAGCCTCTTAATAAATCCCTAATTTATTCTTTAACTCTGTCCAGTCTCTGTTCCAGCTCAGCCTTCCCAAAGCATCACCAGGCTGCAAAGACCCTGAGTGTGCCACGAGCCTCCTCCACTGCTTCCTAGGGGAACTGAGGAGGGGAAAATCCAGCTGAAAGCCTTCTCCTCCCTACCTGTGACCTTCACATCTGCCCTCAGCACCAGACTGAGGCAGCAGCTCCGGAGAGCCCTGCAGGAGTTGGGCATTCCCTAGGGAATGATGGATGTCTCCACCACGAGGAGATTTGTGTGTCTTCACCAGCAGAATTCCCAACTCTGAAACCCTGCTGAGGTGGCTGAGGGATTCCTCCTGGGATAAAGGGCATTGTACTGTCAAGATACATGGAATTAGGGAATGGTTTGGGTCGGGAGGGAATTTAAATCAGCCCATCCCATCCCTGACACCTTCCACTACCCCAGGCTGCTCCAAGCCCCATCCAGCCCGACCTTGGACACTTCCAGGGAGCTGCCACAGCTTCCCTGAGCATCCACAACTCCTCTGTTCCTACAAAACTCAGCCAGGGGCCTCTTACAGATTCAGTGGAATCTCACCATCCCACAAAACTCCCCTCAGGATTTTCCTAAGCCAGCAGCACCCTCCACACACACCCAGCTTGGCAGCCCCAGCACAGCCCAACCCCAGCAGGGATTAAAGCCCTCCCAGGAAAACTTCCTTTAACCTGGAATGCTTCCGAGCGGGATCTGTCAGTGCCAAGCTCCCCCTCTTCCAGGAGTGCTGCCTCCTTCTCAAGCATCTCCTTTGCTGGAGTTTGTGTTTTTCCAAGGGCTCTTCAGTGGGATGTTCCAGGAAAATCCTGCCAGCACCCAAGCTGGAGAGAAGTGAATCATAAAATCTCACGTTAAAACCCCTCATATTTTAAACAATGTTGATGAGTTTTAAGCTTGTGCTTCCAGGCTGTAAGTTGAAAATAGCTGGGGAGGATTGTCTCAAAATTGCAGCTTTCCAGAAGCTGAAAGGAACCTAAAAGTGGAATGGATTCAAATTGACAGGGAGGAGATTTAGATGGGATATTGGGAATTAGGAATTCTTTATCCTGTGGGTTTCTCTTCCCCCCACAGGGATTTATGGTCCCTCAGGGCACAGATATCCCTTTTTTTCCCCTGGCACAACTCTTTGCTCCAGTTTGATCCCCTCACCTCCATTCTGGTGTTTGCTGTTACTCACTTCCCAAAATATCCAACTCTTGGTCTGGGAGCTGATTGGGCTCAACAAATTGCAACCCCTCACTCCACCTCCACCTATTAAAACAACAACAATTTTTTTAAGAAGTTCCTATTAGAAACTATCAATTATGAGGAAAGTAGCACCTGCAGTTGAGAGGTTTATAAATAAATCCAGGTGCTGAGGCAGCTCCAGTGCTGGGACAACCCCGCTCCAGCCCCACTCCTGCCACCCCCCAAAAAATGGGACAAGAATTTAAAAGCCCTAGAGACAGTCATTTATAGAAAATGTATGGAATATGATCAGTAATGTCAGGACTCCTGACTACAAATGGAGCATTAAACATGTGTGAAGTCTGGCTTGCTGCTGTGCATTCTTCAAATTTAACAGCATGCAAATTTAAGAGATACACAGCATTGAATTGTGGAGTCAACCACCAGTGGTCCCATACAGAAAAATCATTTCACACATGCAGATCACCATAAAAAATTATTGGAATGTAGCAATTTTAAAGCCTTGTATTGAAGGGTAATGTGGACTTGGTGAGACTTTTACTTGTATCATCATTGAGAACCTTGTTGCTTTAACTGAATTGCAAAGAGTTGAAGTTAAAAAAAAATATTAAAAAATGTGCAGTCCTCCACTGAAAACTAGCACCATGTTAATGTAGGATGTGACAGAATGTTTTCTTGGGAGGAAATTGAGTATTTCTTATTAACACCCAGGGAACAGGGACAGGAGCAGAGGGAACGGCCTCAGGCTGGGCCAGGGCAGGCTCAGCTGGGCCAGCAGCAGGAATTTGCCCATGGAAAGGGTGCTCAGGCCTTGGCAGGGGCTGCCCAGGGAGCTTGGCAGTGCCCATCCCTGCAGGTGTCCCCTGCAGGTGGCACTGAGTGCTCTGGGCTGGGGACAAGGTGGCCATGGGGCACAGCTGGCACTGCCTGGGCTGGGAGGGCTGTGCCAGCCCCAGGGATTTGGGGATCAACCTTGAAACTGGGACAAATTAATGGAAAAATTAAAACTACACCAAAGAAACAGAAAAAGGACAAATAAGCAACATTTTTACATTTGCAGCCTCTGCTGAGCTCCATGGAGTGGAGTTGAAATCTTAGTTATTCCCCTTGAATGCAAATTCCAGGTCTGAGGCAAAATCCCTTTAACCCAAATTTTTCTGTCCACTTTCTGTTTCAGAAAACTTTTGGAGAAACCCCTGAGTGAGACACATTCTTGCAGTTGTCACTTTTTAGATCCAAAGTGAGAATTTTCAGCAGCGAGGGCAGCTCAGGGAGCCAAAGCTGGGGCACAGATTCCCAAATCCAGGGCTCCTCCTGGCTGAGCTCATCCCTGGCTGGGAGCCAGCTCTGTCCCACAAGGAAAAATCATGGAAAAGGAAAGCTCTGCCTGGAGCAGGCAGCAACCAGAACAATAAAAGCACCTCTGATACAGATTCAGCTTCAGGGAGTGTGTAGTGTGTTCCCTCTGTTCTTCCAAAGATTTTTCCAGGAAAAAAAAGGAAATTAAAAGAAAGAGAAAAAATAAAACAGAGGGGGGAAAAAGATAATTAAAAGAAAAAAGAAAATCAAATATAAATTAAAGAAAAAACATGATGAAAATACCCCCAAACAAATAAACCCCACAAATCCAGATATTCATAATTCTTTAAGGAATATGTAGAGAAAAAGAAAATGTTATTCTTTTTCCTGATGCATTTAAAAAGTAATAAGATATTCAGAAGAACTGGTTTCTTTTCCTCCCCAAAATTCCACATCCAAGGGAAAAAAAAAAAAAGCACAAAACGCCCTCAGGAATGATCCAACCACTGGATTTACATCAGAGAGCAGAAGGTCCTTATATATAACAATAATATTATGGATTTTCCTCCTGTTTTCCACAAAAGAAAGGCAAAAAAGACACATGAACACTTTATTCTGATGTTTTTTTCCCAGTTTGAAATGTCCACTTGATGGCAAAATGAAGCATCTTTGATTCCCCAGCTCCTACAAAAGCTTGGGGAGTCACTAATTCCCACCTGGAATTTTCTGGCCTCACCTTAAAAGGAATTTTTACCTGTGCTTTGAACATTATTTACCTTGAGAACCATGAGGTGGCTTTTGGCAGTGAAAATTTTGAGATTTTAAAATATGTATTTTAAAAAAGAGTCAGGTTTTGCTTTTAACCACACTTTTATTGCCTTTTTTTTCCCCCAAACAAACCCTCACCAAATCACATCCTAGATTTCTATATTTACACTGCAGACTTCTTAATCTCTCCTGTAAATATCCATATTCTGGAGTAATCTCTGGAAAAAAAAATGCTATTTATAGCATCCTGCTGCTGGAGAAATCTTCATTATCAATGTAATGCTCCGAGAGAAAAGCAAATCAATTTGCAGAGTTGTCAAACAGCAAGATAAGCACCCAGATTAAAACTATCCCAATTATTCTAAACAAAAAGAAACCTCCATTGTTACAGTAATGAAGATCCTGTGACAGACCACACACATCCCATGGCCAAAAGTGATTTTTTTTTTTTGTGATGGAGTTATCATAAATCTTTGCCACAGCAGCAATAAAAAATGGGTTAAAAAAGGTTTCAACCATTTGGGATTTTCAGTTTTTCTTGGCAGAGAGTTTCTCCTCAGGGCTGACTGGGAGGATGCCACTGCATTCTTCTGCCTTGGCCACGGGGTGTTTGATAAAAGCTCTCCTGATGACATCAATGTCCCGTCCCAAATGATCCATCATGGGGGACACCAGGGAAGGGGGGGCCTCCAAGTCTATCAGAAAATACCTGCAGTGAGAAACACAGCAAATCAGGCAGAATACCTGGGATGGGACACAAATTAACCAAAATACCTGGGCTGGGACACAATTAAATTAACCAAAATACCTGGGCCAAATCCACCAAAATACCTGGCCTGGGACAAAATCCATGAAAATACCTGGGCTGGAACCAAATCCAACAAAATACCTGGGCTGGGACAAAATTAACCAAAATCCCTTGGCTGGGACAAAATCCACCAAAATCCCTTGGCTGGAACAAAATCAGGCAAAATCCCTGAGCTGGGACAAAATCCATGAAAATACCTGGGCTGGAACAAAATTAAATTAACCAAAATACCTGGGCCAAATCCACCAAAATACCTGGGCTGGAATAAAATCAGCCAAAATATCTGGGCTGGAACAAAACCCACCAAAATACCTGGGCTGGGACAAAATTAAATTAAACAAAATACCTGGGCTGGAACAAAATCTATCAAAATACCTGGGCTGGGATAAAATCAGCCAAAATCCCCTGGCTGGAACAAAATCAACCAAAATCCCTGAGCTGGGACAAAATCCACCAAAATACCTGTGCTGGGACAAAATTAAATTAACCAAAATAGCTGGGCTGGAACCAAATCCACCAAAATACCTGGGTTGCAATTCCAGGGATTCTTCTGGGTTTTTTTAAAATGGGAACTCCAAAGTTTTTTCTGCTCCTGTGGTTTTTTGTTTGTTTGTTTGTTTGTGTTTTTATTTTTGGTTTGGTTTTTTTTTTTTTTGTTTTTTTGTTTGTTTTTTTTTGTTTTTTTGTTTGTTTTTTTTTGTTTTTTTGTTTGTTTTTTTTTGTTTTTTTGTTTGTTTTTTTTTGTTTTTTTGTTTGTTTTTTTTTGTTTTTTTGTTTGTTTTTTTTTGTTTTTTTGTTTGTTTTTTTTTTTTTGGTTTTTGGTTTTTTTTAATGAGGATTCCTAAGTTTTTCTGCTCCTGTGGTTGTTGTTTTTTTTTTTTTAAATGAGAATTCCTCATTTTTTTCTCACATTTTGGCACTCGGATTGTTTGAAATAAAAGCTCAGGGTTAGCTTGATTTAAATGATGAGAAGTTCAGTTGAACTCTGTTGGAATCATGGAATATCCTGAGCTGGAAGATGTCCCACAGGATCATCCAGGCCCTGCCCAGACCCCCCAGCAATCCCAGTTTTTCCCTGGGAATGTTGTCCCAACACTCCTGGAGCTCTGTCCAGCACTGCTGACCAAGGAGATTTATGGGGATTTTTGAAGGAGTTTTGACTAAGTTTGAGATGGGACATGGATGGGTTCTGAGGTCCCTTCCAACCCAAACCATTCCAGAATCCCACAATTTCCCAGCTCACCTCCCCATGGAGCACCTCACAAGCCAAAAGTGACATCCCTTAAATGAGGACACGTTGTCCAAGCAGGATCAGACATCCCAGCTTCATCTCAAAACTGCCCCTGACAGAGAGGACTGTGCTCTGCAGGAATTTTGGATTCTCCTAAATCAACTACAGCAGGAGGTGATCCTGGAGGGGAAGTCCCCAAGACCACAAGGGAACTGGGAATCTGAAGGGGAAATACAGGGGGTGGGGCTGTGAACAAGCCTGGGTTCATTTTTTTGCATCACATCCCAAATATTTGCACCCCAAGAGCCCCATGGGGCCAGGAATGACTCAGGCAGCACTGCTGGATTGCAGAATCCACCCCTGGAAAACATGGGAACAACACTTCTCCTCAGCCACCACCCTGCTCTCACACCAGCAGCCACGGAACAGCCTCAACTCATCCCCAAATCCTTCCCAGAAAGTCCAGAATTCTTTATGGGAGGGGTAGGATGGTAAAAATCCCACTTGACACCCCCAGTCCTGAGGCAGGAGAGGTGCCCAGCTGCAATGGGTGTCCCTGAAGCCAAGGGAGCAGTGCCAGCCCATGCCAGCCAGCATTCCAGGGTGCCTGAGCTGCAGGAATTGGCCCAGGGATTTGGAGGAATTCTGCTGGGCTCCCTCCTCATCACAAACCCCCACAGCAACAAAACGTGGCTTTTGGGCACCTGGGCTGCCCACTGCTCTGTGGGCTCCAGAATGCAGAGATGCCACCAGGGCTGGAGTTTAGGAACCATTTTCCAGCCTGGCCAATTTTGTGGATGTGCAGCCCAGCAGGATCTAAGGATGCACCCCCCTGAAATCTGGGAACGTGGGGTTGATTCTCTGGGAAAGGCATTCCAAGCCAGTGGTGAATTCAGCAGATGACACCTGAACCTCCTCCCTGTGAGCAGCCTTCCAAACCCTCTCACCTAGCAGCAGGGAGGATGGGGAGCAATTCCAGCTGGTGCTTCCTGCCCTTCCCTCGCACTGATCCCCAGAATTTAATTCCATTTCTGCCCAGCTCTCATCTGCTGCTTTTCATTGTGCTCCTAAAACGGGCAAGATGGTTGTTTTTTGTTTTGGGATTTTTTTGTTTTGTTTTGTTTTGTTTTGTTTCTTTTTTTCCCTCCTTCCCTCCAAAGGCTGCTTTGCAACTTTGTGCTTTCTCTGCCATTAGCAAAGGGTGGAAATTTCCACTGACGCACTGTTGATAAGCCAAGGAGAAGAGGGGGGGAAGGGAGGATGAGCTGTTCCAGCAGATCTTTCTGACTCCTCTCAGGAAAAGGTATTTTATCAAAATTGCAGGCACTGGGAAAAACGTGGGGTTTCAAAAACAACCACCTCTCTCCAACGTGAGCAAGATTGCTTCCCTCTGCCACAACAAAACAAAGGAGGAGAGAGAAGGGAGAAAGAAGCAGCGTAAAAAAAAAATAAATTGGATTTCTTCAGGAAAGAAAGAAGGGCTGGAAAAACAATGAGTAGCACAATGGACAATGACATCCCTGAGGAGATGTGAACCCCTTCCCCTCAAATCCCCCCACTGAAATCAGCCTCCAGGAGGCCACGGGGGTTTTTAAACCCTCCAACCTTCCTTGCAGGCAGCGATCTATGACCCCACAACGCTGCTGTTTGTGGAGTAAACAACCCCAAATCCCAGCGAGACAAAGCCAGGGAAAAATACAGGAATGCAGCAGGGAAACCACCTCGTTCCTGCAAACAGAAATGCAAAAAGCATTTGTGCTCTCTAGGAGTCACCAGGGGAGAAATGCAGGAAAATTCCACTGATTCACCATGAGCCCACAGTTATTTTTGTCCTCCTGCTTGACTGCAAACACAAGGATGATTTAAATGCAGGGGAGCAGACTGGAACACATTAAAACTATGCATTAACACCCAAAAAAATTTAAATGTAAGATGGTCTCAAATAAAGGAGGACGTGCCTTTGTATATGAGGGAAATAAAAAAAAAAAAAAAAAAGAGCCAGGTTTCATTTCTCAATTTTACTACATTCAGGCCAGAAATTGTTTGAACCTTCAGTCCTAAGGATGCTCAAATCTGTGGCTTGCAGATGGCCAGGGTAGGAGGACTTCAAGGATCCTGGATGAAAATTCCCTTTGAAATCCTCCTGGAATACAACTCTGAGCCAAGGGGAACAGTGAAGATATGGAAGAGGCTGTGGGGTCCCAAGGTTTTGGCCCCAAAACATCTCCCTTGTGTGAAGGTGGAAGATCCAAGGGCAAGAAAATGTTCTGAGGAACAGCAGAGGTGAAAGGAGCAGAAAACACCTGGAGGAACCCACAGCAGGTGCAGGAGGAGCTCCACGGTGTCCTCATTAAGGTAAGTCCACAAAATTTTTTTATTTTTTTTTCCTACTTGAATGTTCATTTTTAGGATCATGGAAATGGGGGAATTTGCTTTGCCCCTCCTCAGCAGGGCAAGTTCATGATCAGGATTGTCAGAAGGGCCAGGACAAGGACAAGGGCTGCCTTTAGCTTTTACAAATATGGCAGTGGGAGTTCCTTGGGAATCTGGGAAGGACCAGATCCAACCCAAAAATTGGACTTTAATGACCAAAACTGTGCCACAGCAATGATGGGAATGATCCACAGAGAGCCTGGGGGGAGATACATCCACAGCCCCAGGAATGGCATTTCCCAAACTCCATCCACAGGCACCTGTGTTCAGCTGATTGAACCGTGGAAAGATGCTTCATTAATTTAAAAATCATTAAGAAAAATAATTTAAATTAAAGTCAACCCCCTCAAATGGTGGCTGGTGCCACCCCACCAAGGCCAGGGCCATCACACTCAAGGAGCTTGCACAAGGGTGCCACAGGATTTGGTGGATTCGGGTGCCTCCACATCACCAACTCTGCTCAAGGCCTCTAAAAAGCACCAAAATGCCAAAGGGCACTTCCACGGCTGAGGTGGAAAGGAAAAAACATCCCAGACATTTCAGGGCTTTGATCCTTGAGGCACAGCCACACTTAGATGGGGAAAAGAATTTGAAGGCTCAGTAATGGTTCAACTCATCAATGAAGAAAGCCCCATCTAGTGGAAGAAGACAATCAGTTGAGCAGAAAATACTCCAAATGTGCATAAATCCACAAATATTCCAGCTGCTTTTGTTCTCCTCCAAGTGCACTGCAGAGCCAGGACACCTTTTTGCCCAAACAGCTCAAGATGTTCTAAAATCCAAACAGCAACAACAAGCTGGGTTGGGCATTAAGTTTAAATTTATTTTGGGGGGAGGTTAAGTAAGGAAAAATTGCAGCTCCTTTCATCTGTTTTTGTTTTGCCCTCTTTGGTCTTCAAGAGCCATGAAAAGCATCAAGAGGCTCAACTTGAGCGAGGCCAAACACGTTTGGAGAATAAAGAAAAAATATTAACTCTGAATAATTTGGGTTCAGCAAAGGGTGGGGAGAGGGTTGTTCAAACCTGTGAACGCTCCAGAGAACATTTCTGACAGGTAACCATTATTTCACTCTCACAAATCAAATTATGCCCAGGCAGTGGGGATGATCAGAGGGCACTTCAACCTCTCCCATCCACGTGGAAAATTTCACCCTGCCACAAGCAGGAGGTTTAAACATGAATTGTGCAACTTCCAAAGCTCAGCTGCTTTGCGGGGAGAGGCAAAGCCTGAACATGTA